AAAAAAAAAAAAAAATCCACTAACAAAATTATAAAAAGTAACTCTGCCGGGATTAGGTTTTGTTTCTAAGAAGGACAATTCTTTAATTTTAATTATTAACAAAACCTATTTTTACGTTGGCTACTTCTTTGATTGTTAGGGTTATACAGTATATTATAATGGGTATTGATATATGTTGGAAAGTTTTAACAAAGGCTTATAATAGATATAAAAACGATCAACAATTCTTAATTAAATATCTTAAATTAGAAATGTATTTTTCTTTATGACAATGATCTAATCATTGATCAATTGATGTGTATTTTGATTGATATATGCGGATATACCATGTCAATGTTCCATAATATTAATGAACTCCATACTTGGAGTGATTATAAACAACAATTACAAAATTATTTTGATAATAATTCAACATAACTCGAATTGATTTATAACCACTCTAGCTATTTTGATTATTTAACATTACAAAATTATTGTTTGCCAGCTGAGTTTTTATAAATTAATTCAAATAAACCAAAGCTGAAGAGAATTGATCAACCAACTGAGTTTTTGTAAATTAATTCAAATACATCAAAGCTGAAGAGAATTGATCAACCATTGAAAACAAATTAGAAATAAGAAAAAGTGTTCTTTATATATGCGTTTGAGATCCAACTAAGTATGATGATATAAACTATGATTTCCAGCCTAATATATACTTTGGGTACATGTAATTAGTTGTTAAGGTTAATCTATGAGAGAGGACAACAAATCTCATTTTTGCAGATGTTGGTGATCGACCTCTCATCCTGGTCATTACATTAATATTTATCTCTTAACATAATGGTAAAGAATATATTTTATTATCTTATTTGTGAATCTATTAGCTACAAAATTAATATTTTTTCCCGGTAATTTACAAAATTACTATTTGTTAAATAATGGACAACCAAATTTACAAATGAAAGCCCTTACTGACTTTGGGTCAAGTTGAAATTCATATTTGAATCTATGTATTTTTTGTGTTATAAGTTTGGAGCTACGCAAAACTAAATTCTGGTTTAACAATATTATTTTTAATAAAAAAGATGCAGATGCATCACTTCCTGTAATGGTAGTCAAATGTGATATTCAAACCACTAATTTTCATCAAAATATTTCAAGAGCTCAATAAGTCATAAATGAGGAACAATGAGGTACATATAAGTTGCAATCTTAAAATTCATTAATATTCAAATGCTAATTCTTCTTGAATATTTAGTGATATCTATATTTCATCTAATGCAAAATTGTCAAAGCTAGATATGAGTGGTGTTATGCTTTATCCAAAACATGTCCACAAAAAGTTAATGAAAGGAGCCAAATTTATGAAATGATGGCTAAGAAAAATATTACAAGACAATGACATAATGAGTGGATTTTCGTCTTCTCTTCTCCTACAAATTGAGGAAATGGAGTTCAAATTGATATCTCCCAGACTACAACATCAAGAACTCCATAAGTGAGTACCCAATTTTGAATATAAAAAAAGAATTAAAGAGCAAATCTCATAAAATATTCAAAACCTGGACAAGGTAAATTTTACATGCACGAAAATTATGTTTCATATTTTCAAATATTTTGCCATTAATTTTTTTATTTCAACTGAATGTAGGAGAGGGAGTGGATCCTGAAATTGAAATAATTACGTTGTTGAGAAGACGAAAGAGATTGTTCATTTCTAACATCATCGTATTTATTTTATTACATTCAGGTTACTAATCAAGAAGAAGAAATACTGTTAATGGTGGAGGCAATGGATCCAATATTCGAGATAATGACACATTTGAGTGTTGTCAAGAAGGAAAAGAAAAATGATGGCAAAGATCCCAATTTAAGTTTGGTTTGATAAACATTTTTAGTTAGAAGTCGGTTTCTTGATATGAGTTTACTTTCTACTTTCATCCTTACATTGAGAAATCAATTAGGATGTTATTAAACTCTGTAATGTATGTTCATATTTTATTTTTCCAGTAATTATATTATTTCAATTCTTCTATAATACCCAATAAAAATGTATATTTGCCTTGAACAATGTCATTATTGTTCATGTCATTGAGAAAAGTAACCGTCCAACGGGCGGGTCCCAATCTAGTTTACAATTAAAAAATTATGCATTTGACAGTTTATCCAATCAACTTAATCAGGCCGATTGAGCCCATCCTAGCATTGGTTACGACACCAAAAGTAGCCCAATTTATGGTCTTGGTTGTTCAAACCCCAAACCTATTTGGGTTTCATGTTTGTATAAATGTATACACGTACAACATAAAAAAATTCAGATTGTTTGGATGAGAGATTTGAATACAGAATTTTGTCCAAATCTTTTGTTGTATAGAATGTTGCTCAACTCACTAATGAAAATTTTCCAGAAATAACACTGTTTAGTAACATCAGTAAAATCCAAGTGCTCCAAATAATTCAATTTAATGAAGGAAAATTTAGTAATTGCATGATTAATTTTTAATTTTCAATTATAAAATGAATTGCAAAAATTTGCCAACATCCCGTCTCCTTCCCAGACGCCGGCCAATCAAATTTCCAGCGCGATCAGTCCCATGCAAGTTTTTCCGGCCGTTTGCCTTTTCTAGGAACTTTTGCGGTGGTCATTCTCATTTTCCTTTTCATGGAGAATTTTCCCGCAGATAGAGAAAGAGAGTTGATTTTCGACCGTGGGAAGTTTTCAGTGCCGGTGGTGAAGATTTTTCGGCAATGGGGGTTTTCCAACGACATCGACAATTTTGTGATGTTTGTCCGACTATTTTGTAATGTTTGTATCGATTTTGTTTGTATCTTTATCATTTTAGTTTGTAATGTTTATATAACTAATTTGTATATTTGAAATTTGTAATGTTTGTTTGTTTAGTTTGTATACTTTGTATTGATTTGTTATAAAAGTTTACTAATTTGTATTGTAAGTAGTGTCATTTTGTATTGTTAGTATGTTTTGTAATGTTTGTTGATTTGTTTTGTAATGTTTGTAAGTTTTTATCGATTTACTTTGTATTGTTTGTATAGTTCGTACATTTTGTATTGTTTGAAAATTTGTTTGTATGTTTTGTCGTTCTAATTTGTACTATTTGCATGTTTTTATGGTTTGTCATGTTTGTACACTTCGTAATTTTTCATAATACCCAAACTACCCTGTCATTAATTAAAAAACCCTTCCCACTTTTTAACTGTCAGATTAGTGTGTCCAGATCTAAGGACTGAGACGGGCTTAGTCAAGTGATGTAAGCACCCCCTAGTCATGGGATCCCCCCAATCCCGAAAAATTCCAAAAATAGCACCCTTTCTCAAAAACCGCTTGGTGGGGGGGGGGGGGGGGGGGGCGGCGGTTTTAGATAAAATCCGCTTGGGTTGGGTGCGGTTTTGTTGACCGCTGCGAGTAGGAGCACAAAGTTATGTAAAATCAAATATAATTTCATGACGTTCGGATTGCGGAGCACAAAATTATGGATAGTCAAAGTTTGGCCAAATCGAAAAAAAACTCGTTCGGGGTAGCAAACGACGTTTATTCGGGATGAAGGCGGGACCAAACCACCTATGATTTTTGCGGGACCAAACCACAAAGATACGTTCGTTTAAAGTTTCCACCTAGGTTAGAACTAATCGGGAAAAAAAAATACGACCAAAACCGCTGGGTTGGGCAGCGGTTATGAACCAAACTGCTTTTACCCGAAGTGGTCAACAAAACCGCCCCAACCCAAGTGATTTTGGTCGAAAACCCCTACCCAGCGGTTTTCCTGGCATTTTTTAGAAAGGCTGCTATTTTTGAAAATTTTCGGGATTGGTTGCTAATTTTGTAAATTTTTTTAACAGTGTTATTTATGAAAATTTGTAAAAGGGTCTAAGAATAAAAGATTTTGAGCTTGCCATATTTTGAATACTCCCACTTCCAAAATTTCAAAAAAACTTTTGCTCGCCAAAGATAACATAGCCTAGTGGTGAAACCACTGGACCAATTGAGCTCTGGATGTGAGAGGTCCTGAGTTCGATTCCTAGTGGCGCCACTTGAGCGTTCCCGGCGGCACCCTTGGTATCGGAGGCGAAGCCTCCCCGATGTTTGTAGCAGAAAGCCCCGATTAGTATACAGGTACCCCCAGTGGTTTAGAGGCCCCGCTGTCGCTCAAGTGGCACGTGGTGCTGAGGTTAAAAAAAAAAAAAACTTTTGCCCTAGATGTGTTGAAATCCATCAAGTTTTTTTCTTCTTCTTCTTAACCCAGAACTGCAACACTCTTCTTCTTACTCTTCATCTGTTCTCCGTTCCCCTAACCGGAAAACCACAACCTCCATTCTGTTAGGCTACATCTGCAATTGCATGCCAATTGCTAAGTCTAGAAATAGCACATTGAAACTTCTATTGCACGAGTGCAGCTTGCCATTGCAAAGTTGCAATTTCCTTTGCAGTGCCTCATGAAGTAGATCGATGTTAATTGTCTACCGGTAAACATTTATCTGACTTGATTTTTAGGTACTAAAGTAGGGATCTTCTACTCAACATTGATCATGAAATCCGTTCATGTAGATTCGTGAGCCATAAGAATGCAAAATCCAGAAAAGAAGCCAGCATCCTCGGAGTCCCAAGCTTTAGACACTGAAGACAGGCAGCAGTTAGACAATCTGCCATTTTGGATAAATCCGTTTAAGTCTGTAGACAAAGGATTAGCAGAACTCCTCCTTCAGCAAAACTTTTTTTTTTTTTTGGTAATGGTGTAATTCATTAATTAAGGAAGAAATAAATCAGCAGAACAAGTACAGAGAGAGCCAAAAGCCAAAACAGTAGGCAAGAGGCTGCAAAAGCAAGAACTGCCACCATCAAAACAATGACAGCAAAACTTTGGTAGCATGAGCCACTCATCCCACAAAATTTGAAGCAAAGAATGAATCATATCATCAGCATATAATGGTATCTATCTGTCAAAAAAAATCACAACAACCAATCATCATCCTATTTTCATCTTATGAACTGTCCCAGTTCTTTATGATTTCTTAAACTGTGCCACCCTCTTAGCCAATGCAAGCCTTGCATCAGCAGCTTGCTTCCCAAACAAATCCCAATGCTCCTCAATCAAATGACCATTACCATTATCATCATCACCACCAATAAAATCATCCACATCACCACCACCTTCCCTCATGAGCAACACATTGTGAAGAATAGAGCAAGCACCAACGAAACCAACTGCTGTCTTGAAGTCTTCGCCAATTGGCATGCTCAACACCCCCCATTTCCTCAAGCTCCCAATGGCCCTAGCGGCAGAAACTCGCATCCAATCGACTGTCGCGTTGAACATCTCCTTCTCCCTTCTTGACTCAAAAGACTCATCTTCATCATCACCGAATGGCACAAACAGCCAAGGAAGTAAAGGGTATCCCCTGCCTCCAACTAGGTACTGATTCACTGCCACTCCTTCCACAATCACTGGACTCGAATTCAATGCCTTCCTTTCCTCGATATCTTTGTACAAAGTCGTGGACTTTAGAATCTGGGAGTCGCTCTTGTCGCCACGAAACCCTGCAACTATACTCAGAATCCTGGAATTCGAGTCAACCACAAGCTGAACCGCCAGGGTTTCATGGCCAACGAGGGTGAATCTGGTACAAGCTATCACCCCACAGCAATTGGGAAGCCCAGTTAGAGAAAGGAAATCTTTTGACACGGAATTGAGCTCTTCTGGAGGAGGGAATCCGACCCAGAACCGGAAATTGGTGCATAAGACTCGAGACAGCTGTTTGGAGCAGAACCGGGCCGCCGACTCTGTGACCCCGAACCGGTTGGCGATTTCGGCGTAGCCCGACCCGGTTGCGAGGCGGAACATCCCGATTCCGAGGCGGAGCTCCGGGGAGAGGTTGAGCGGGGAATCAATCGGGTCGCGGCATTCAAGGAGCGGCTCGAGAAGCCCGCACAGCCACTCGAAGGTGGAGGAGCTCATCTTGAAGGCGGACCTGAACGAGTCGACGCCGCGGGTACCAACGGCGGCGACTCGGTCCAGCTCGCTGACTCGGCGATCGCGGGCCGGATGGGAATCGATGTCGGGCAATTGGGTTCGCTTCCGTTTCCTGGAGGAGGCGGTGAGGAAGGCGGCGATCTCTTGGGAGGAGAGGAAATGGTGGATGAGAGGGAGGAAAGAGGAGGCGGCGGCGGATGCAGCGGAGGGATTGGCGGATTCATGGGGAGAGGAAGAAGGGAAGAGGAGGAGAAGGAGGGCGAGGAGTTGGGAAGCGAGGGAGCAGAGAAGGGCGGCCAATTTCTTGGTGGACTCCATTAAAATGGGTTTGCTGCGGGCGGAGGTTGTCAGGGCAGAATCCTGGTGGGGAATTGGGGAAAATTTTCCTTTTTTTGGGGGGGGTTTTCGGAAATCGAGGTGGGGAAGGGAGGATTTTGTGTGTCAGTGTTTTTATTTTTTTGGTTTGTGGGATGAGCCATCAGGTGGGAGTTGGAGGGGGCGAACTATAGAAGGACATCTGGCTCTACCCTTGCTAGCTCGTCGGCGACCCTCTATGGAAGTTTCGTTTAAGGCACGTGACGTGAGATTTACATAATAGCTGGTTTTCTTCCTTTTTTGTTTCTAATGAAATCGTATAATAACAAAATTGTATGATTATAAATTTATAATAATATATCCACAAAAAAAAAATATAATATCATAATAAAATCATATCAATTATCACTAATGATGATATAATGATACAACCATATCAATTATTACCTTCGTATTCAAAATTTTCGCGTTTCTGTCAATAATTACCACTTTTGGAGAAATACTCAAAATAGTCATTTCGCCCAATTCTTTAACGGTGTCAGTTAACAAGTAGACTGGACTAACAGAAAGGCTGACTTGGCGACATTTCGTCAGTGACAATTCCACATGGATTAATTTCAAAATTATAAATATAAAATTTTGAAAAGGATCTTTTAGCCATCTGTCCTTCTCTCTCCCCTATCGTGTTCCCACTACCCACCCTTGTCTTCATGTTCGCACCTCCATCTCCTCGTCTTCCGACGACGACGAGCCCTCAATTTCTCCAGATTGGCGACCTCTCTCTAACGACGAGCGAAGCCCTCTCGATTGATGAACCCACTGCCACAAAGAAACATCTTTCCCCACTCCAGATTATCCTCTCCGCATCCATCCCCCAAAATCTCCTCCCTTCCTCGACCGACTCGTGCATGCATCCGGCCGGTTAATAAACCCACGACGAGCTTTCTCCGATGACACCGAAACTTCTTAGTGAGAACGAATGAACCATCAATTTGAGGAATCCCGAGGAGACTTAAATGTTTCATATTATTATATGTGCTTTAACGTCATATGAGATTGGATGAAATACCATCAGGAGCTATATTGCTAATAAGTTTTATAAAAGTTATATGCTTAGCTTATAGAAGAAGCCACATTCTTGAGTGTGGGGTTATTCCCCTTTTATCTATGCCAACTTGGCTTCTTTTATATTGAGTATAAGGATGAATCATCGACTTCCTAAATGGATGGGCAAGCATAAGAAGAAGGAGAGGATGGTGCTTCTTCTTCTAGAGGACCTAGGCATCCTAGTCCAACAAGAGAGGAGCTAGAGTATGCAACACCTAGAAGATCTGTACAACTCAACAAAAGGGATCCCATGGTTGAAGAAGAAGAGAAGGAGGATTTGTGGAACTCGAGTTCTTATTATTTATTCGTTTGAATTTTCTCTCGTACGAACAGTGGAATGCTATCACTTGATAGCGGAAGGATAAGGAGTAGAAATAGACAGTTTCCATAAGGAAGCGAGGTGCTCCAGACCGATAGCGAGTTTGATATTAGAGAGGAGGCACCAGAGGCACCCCTGTGGCCTTTCCTTAAGTTTCCCCACCATAGTTTTAGTGTTATGAAGGTTCAAAAGTGAAAAGACATACCATTGGACCCCCAAAGAGAGCTTGATTGGCTGAAATTTGACCAATACCAAGGATATGGCTCGACTATCAGACATAAACTAGATGATGATTGTCTCTTGTCACTAATCAAAATTAGAGGAGAGAGCAACGATGTGCTCACATGGCATTTCCTTGCCACATTGACAGTATGTTGAGCAAGGACCTCGATCCAAACCTGCATCTCATAGACTGGCAGGACGGTGCTTCAACGAAAGTTATAACAGCTTCACCAGGAAGCCAGGGATGGCTGCCTTTCATGTGAGAGGACCACTCTTTAATTATATCCTTGTATCTTATTGGGATACATCATACCATGTAGAAATCTTCCAAGAGCTATGGAAGACAATTACAGATTACAAGGGACCAAGAGGCTGAGTTTGTTTTTGGCTATTCACCACCAACATCTATTTCGCTGCCATTTATGTGGTTTGTGCACTACTTAAGCCGAATGAGCTTTCATATGAGGCAGAAAGGAGATGCTGAGAAGGTAACCACCACTGACATGATCCTATTTCATGCTCTTCTGAACTACTAGTGGCTTCATCCAATACCTGCTTCCCTTATGATATACATCACTATACTTCTCCATGAGGTTTTCTATGTGGAAACTATATTCTGACTATATCCCAACACATCTAAGATCATAAGGAGGAGTACGGATTTTCTTTTTGCGATGCTTTGGCAAGGCAATGACCAATTCAAAGACAACAAGCTTTCATCTTCAGAGTAGAAAGGGTGACAAGCAAGGGAGTATACCTCACCAAGAATGACTACCCATGCCATTCTCCATTTTTTTTAATCTATTCAAACATTTTTTATTATGCAAAAGAGTCCCTTTTTTAAAGTTTTCAAAGGGTGAACTGTATCTTCTAGAAAAATGCAAAGATCTACCTATCAAGACCTTGTTTCATTCGAAAATTGCCATGTTGTTTTCAGAAGTCAAGTGTGGTGTAAGCCTAACGTGTGAGGAATCTTTTCCTTTCACAAAATCTGGTTTTGGAAGAGAGACTAGTTGAGCTTTAGTAGAGAATTCCTACAAGGTGATGTGAGTTCCTCTTTAGTACAAGTAAAATTTCCATCCGTTGAACTTATACCCAAGTTGAGAATGTGTTTTTAGGGAACGGATAGAGCTTCTGACACTCCTTAACTTCATTGACCCCACACAAGTTGAAGTATAGGATCTTCTAGCTCTTTCTCAATCAATAAGGGTCTAAAGTTCTAGTAAGTAAAGAGCCCTCCATACGAGAAAATTCTAGAATGAAGAAAAATCAAAAAATCAAAAAAGAGTATGTGTTTGAATAAGGCAAAGTGCTCAAAGAAATGTCAAGTTGATGGTAGAAAGCATTCAAGGTACAAAGCAACATAGGAAGATTTGGATCAAGCATTGGATATTCTAGATGACAAAAAGAGCTATGAAGAGAATGATAAACATGAGGTCCAATAGCAGAGAAGCCTACTAGTAACCACAAGTAGAGCCCAAAAGGAACCAAATTGAGGAAGACTCAGCCGAAGCAAAAGTAAGAACCAATAACGGGACCAACTACCGCCCAAGAAAACCTGGATAAATTGCAATGAAATATTGAGGTTGATTGTGGGCCAAAAAGTCCAGTCCAAGAAGAAAACTGCATCCTCTGTAACTTTCACTCAAAGGTCTAAGCCCAAATAGGATATCTTTAGACCATGCTTCGGCCTCAAGTCAATGAAAGCGTGTCTTAGTAGGGATAGGAAGGTTTTGGCCAAGTTCTACAACTATAAATAGAGGGTTAAACTCATTAGTTCATTAGATTACACAATTCTACTAAAAAATTATGTAGATACTTTGTTCGAGTGAGAGCTTAGCATTCGTAGGACAAGGTGCAACTAAGGAGATGTCTTCATCATCTATGGCAGTTCCTCCCTTTTCTTCTATGTATAGCTAGTTCTAAATTGATTGTATGAGAATGTGAACTCATTTATCTTGGTATTTATTGATGTTATGATTTCATATGATGCTTTGTCTATGCTTGTGATCTTTGATGTTTTTTTTATGTATGTGTAGATGCTTTTAGTTTTGATGCCTATGTGACGATCATTGATATTTATCTAGTATGAATGCTTTCTTATTATCGATGCTTATGACTATATAGTATGTTACTATATGCATTGTGCTTAGTATCATCTAGGTTGTAAGATATTACCCTCTAGTGATACCCCACTGATGCTACACGACAATAGAGGGAATGATCAACCATCTATATTTTGAGTAGTATCAATGTTTGATTGTTAGATCATTAATGCTATAGACAATCAATTATAACGCAAGAGGCCCACACTTAATCATTTGTTATCCTCACTTCTCTTTTCTTCATTGATTAGGTGATGGCATTAAGCGAAAGCAAGCATTAGCTAGTCAAGTTCCTATTGCATGTTGCAAAATCTCGAGTAGGATAACCTTATTAGAAGGGATATAGTGATGTTATATATGATTCATTGACGCATGATATGATTAAGCATTACTATATGTGATTATGCTCAAAATCTGCCTTCTTTTTCAATAATGTATATGTACTTTTATGCATCTATATAACTTGAAAACCCCCTGAACAACTTTACTCTTCTTGCTTTGTTTAGTGTACTCGAATGAAAACCCCTAAAAGTCTTTACTATTCTTGTTCGGGCATAGAACGTGTGGTGTGAGTAGTTATGCATAAGAAGAACTTGTGGAATACGACCCTAAGGTATCCTAGCCCTAGGACTTTTATCCCTTGCATGAATAATTGCATCAACTCCACCCTTTAAAGATTTGATGGATTTTGAACCTAAATCCTTTACTCGAGCCTTCATGTCTCCTGTGCATAAATGTGATTGGGTTGAGAGCAATATTTGCGAAACTAAGAATTTAACAATTGTAGAATAAGGGAATGAGAATTATTGACATGTTTGAGGGGATTATGTTGTACATGATGGACAGGATTGTAACTAAGTACAAGTTGTTAGCAGACACAACTCATTTGTTATGTCTAAGAATTATGAAGAGGGTCGAAAAGGAGAAGGCATTGTCTAGGCTGTGTAGTACTAGAAAAACCTTAGATTTTGTTTGAGCCAAGATACCTCCTATCTCTTACCCTCCAACACGGCCGTTATCCGCGACTCGAGCGCCTGGAACCTACACACACAAGCGCCTAAGGGCCTTGGTCGACCCGTTAGCACTCCGATGCTCAAGCCAGTGCACTTTTCTAGAGAGATAAGTGCCGAGAAATATTTTAGTGAGAGAAGCCAACCTCCGTAAATGCTACCTACCGAGTACTATTTATACTTGCCGAGGTCCCAACGGTCCTCTTGGCATTTGAGCCCACGTCATCGCATCATTTTATG